ACAGAAACACACCATAATAACATGAATCAAATATGTACTTTATTCATTTACATTAAATGTCATAATGTACATCATTCTTATTGGAGCTAAGGGCATACACTGTCTAACATCAATGATAGAATGTATTGATCAGAGAGAACTAGTAATCCTTCTAGTGTTTTTATGCTATTTTCTGTTCTCATTCATTGCTATGTTTTATCATTGGAGGCCAGGTGTATTGTTGTAAATTTTATTTTTGGAGATTTATATAAATAGTAAAGAAAGGGAATTTTGCTATTGTTTTACATTGCTAGGGCATGAAAATCTGGGGTCAGCAGACTGTATGTGGGCTTAGATAAGCTAATTGTTTTACATTGATCGCTTGACTCTCAGGGAATTTTGGGAGATATGTTTGTGTTGTTTCTGGTGCCTAGGATTGTTCTCAGAGATTTTGTCCAAAAATCAAGGAAAAATCAGAGTTCTAGTTGTTCCAAGTTGTTAAAACCCTAGAAGGTGGTTTTCAAGTGGCACTTAGGAAAAAAACAATTCTTTTGAAATTCTATAATGGGCACTTTTAGTTCATGGAGTTATGAAGCTTCCAGAGAGAGTGCCCCTCTTTCTCCAGTTCAATCTTTGGCACAGGGTTATTTTTTTATAGTAAATAAAAAGAAAATTTTGAATTAAAATAAAAAAAGATATTATGAGAGCTCAAGGTGATGAGGCATCACCTGATACACAAGAAAGGAAAAAGTAATACAAACATCTTAACAACCAAAACTTCCATTTCCCAACTCTAAGGTGGACCAAAAACCCAACCTATTTAGTATCTCCCATAAATTCTGGTAAAATCAAAATTCATTCCAAGGTAAGTTTTCATCCTATAGAACTTATGAATCATGATTTTTTTAAATAATTAACTGTAAAATTTTATTAATCAAATATCAACAACAAGAGAATACAAACAATCTAATTATCCCAAACAGAGGCATGAGCTGCAACCTCTCACAAGGGGTTAGTGGATCCTAAGATTGGGCTAACAGCTTAGCAGATCAACTAGAAAAACAGGGGGTCCAGGGTCCATAGGGAAATCTGTTTGTGGGCTCAGTTAAAGGGATTACAAGCTTTGTACAGGGGTAACCGAGGCTACTCTTGTTGTTGTAACTGTTTACTCTTATATTATTTAATAAATCTTTCTGTTACTGATAAAAAAAAAATACCCCTCACTGTCGCATCTTCCTTTTCTTCCTCCAGAGCATCCTTTATCATAATCCACTTTTCACCTCATTCTCTCCACCTTAATTTCTTCTTCCTCATCTTAGGTGTTTCGGCTTCAATCCTTTTCTTATTTCCCCCCTCCCAAACTGTCTCTTTTTTTTCTGGCTCTTCTTCCTATTCTTCCTTGTTGATTTTTTGGACCAGCAATTTCCCTTTCCACCTCCTTCCTTTCTCGTTTTGTATGGAATTGGAGTATCACCCTCCTCATCCTTATTAAGGTTATTACCTAATTCCACCTCTACTAGAAGTTTAAAGGTTTGTATTATTAAACCCCAAATCCTTTCCTCTTCCTTCTCAGATCCTTTCAAGACCTCCAAGTCTCCCAAAACTTCTATTACTTCTACTGATTCATTTGGAATGACAGCTTCTGGATGAGAGATGTTAGCACCTGCAAGTTGGAAAACAGAAACTGGGGAAGGGGAATTGTTAGTGCAAATAAATTTAGAAAGAACAGGGACTTGACATACCAAACTAAAAGCAATAGGACCTGACTAATCTCTAGAAACTCCTAGGTTGCAAAGGAGAGGGCGTCAGCTGGGAACATTCTCCTCCAAATAAACCTGCATTGCACTATTTAGTGGAATGGGTTATCTGTAGCTTTGCTATCAGAGAGGGGAGAAGATCTACTCATACTACAGACACCTTGGCCTTGTTCTAAAATCAGTATAGGTTCTCCTCTTCCTTTAGTCAAAGTGTTCACCTTGCCCTGGGGCTCACCTTCCAATCCCAAGCTTTCCAAGGTTCCAAAGATTTCTCAGTTTGGATCGGTGACTCATCTCCAAACAATAAATGTGCTCCAAATTCTTCTACCGCTAGGAAGCTCTTCTTCAAAATGCTCTCTACACTACTAATGCTAGACTCTGCATAATAAGCTTCTTCTTTTATTCTTCACAGTTTACCAAATCTGAATCATAAACATCTTCTGCTTTCCTTTCAGTCGTATTTGGGATTTGTATGATCTGGAGTTGTGGAACAAGAGACTAACCTTGGTCTCTAGGCAATTTTCTCCACTGCAAGTTCCTTTGACCAGGCCAATTTCGAATATGGTTTCATTTGGGAAGATGATAGACCTGAGAAATAGTCATCTCTCTCACCCTACCCCTATTCACATGTTCACTTAAATGGTCATGTGTTCTCTCAACTTCAATCGGTCCACCCTATTTCAAATTGTGCCGGCCTTAGTTTCTACAGATTTGGGCCCATTGGCAGGCCCATTCGATAATGCCTTCAAGACCAGTGGATCTTCTGTCCCACGTCCATCTAGCATACCCAGTTCTGACCCATTCAGCTTAGCATTAGGCCCAGGATTGTTTAAGGTTTTCAATCCATCACATGGCTGCTGAACAGCTGGCCATGTAATAACTCCACCTGCCAGAGATTAGGCATAG